ACACACTGCATTTTGTTTATTTTGTCTCACCAGCTCTGGAGCTTCCTCATTTTGCTCAGGTGGTTGAATGCTAAGCCACAGTATATGACTATCCTCACTGTGGCTTTTTACATGAGTGGCAAGATCTGAACTCAAGCCTCATGCTTGTGTGACAAGTATTTTTACCAACTGAGCCATCTTGCCAGCCCCAACTCTTTATATTTCTAAAGGTCAGAGTACAAGAATTCCTTAGATTTCAAAGGTGCAGGCCAAGCATGAGGCCAACTAAATTACCCAGAGTTTTACAGAATGGAAACTTTTTTAATGCAGGGAGCAAGATGGCATGGAGTGAAACTCACAATAAGATACCATGCGTGTCCCCGAGGGAATGGGAACAAAATTTTCAGGAAAGTAAGAACAAAATGGAAATAGAGTGAAGTGATTAGGGCCAGCAGAGTGCAGGAATGCATGAGGTGCTCACTCACCCTCATCTTGCCCGAGTGACAAAGTGTCATTTATTCTCTCAAACCACAGTGATGAGTTTTAGGGCTAATTGTTTGAACTACAACAAAGGGCTGGAGATATAAGCTGCCTGATACATAAAACTGGAGCTTCATAGTTATTGTGAAGTACAGAGCTTTTTAACACGAAATGCTAAGTACAGTGTTAAGTACTGTAAAATGGCGTGAATGTCCTGCAGTGGACACTCAGAAGCAAGAGGGAAGAGGTGTATTAGTTTCCACTGGCTGTTGTAACTTAGCTGAATAAAATAGCAAAGGTTTATTGTCTTACAGTTTGGAGGTCAGAAATCTGAAGTCAGCTCATTTTGCTAAGAGGAATATCATGTTGTTGTTATTATTATTATTATTGGAGGCTCAGGGGAACCCTGGTCAACATTTAGAGCCCCTTTATCTCTGAAAGCCAGTAGAGATTGCTTGCATTTTTCTCACAAAGGATCACAGGCATTGCTTCTTCTGTCCCCTTCCTCTTTTAAAGCGCTCTTTTGAGACCACTGTTGAGGGTAGAATCTGTTTGTGTGATGTGACTTGCTTTAGAAGATTGGTAGTGGGTGGGAGGCTCATATGTTGGTATTTAGCAAATATCCTCTCATATAACCCAGGGTGATATCTCTTTTTCTATATTATGTGAGCTCTTTGGCAACCTAACTTCTTTCTGCAACTTTTATTCCTCCTTGTCAGTAATCAGCCACAGTTCCAGCTTGAGGAGATTGAAGGGCGGGAAACTCTGGTGGGTAGGAAATTATTTTACCTGCTACAAATGGAATCTGAAGTATTGTATATAACTTTTTGGAGTGTTTCTGGTCCTGATCTCCACCTCACATGTCCAGGAAGCTGGTGGAAGGAGAATGGTTTGTTTGTTTTTCTATGACAGTGATTTAACTCATGGCATGTCTTTTGAGTGATGAACTGAGTAAGGTCAGACCTCTGCTTTCGGAAGAGTTTTATATTTGCAGGAGAAATGATCATCTTGACACTATGCAAAGACTAGAGATCCACCCATGGAAGTGACAGTGTGTGTGGAGACATTAAGGGTGCTATGTGGGTATAGTCATAGGACTTAAGATTTGACGAGGAAAGTGCTGGAGAGAAAGGAAGAGAGTCCAAGATGACAGTGACAGTGTTTAGAGCCTGGAGCGAAGGGTCACCAGTTGGTAAGTCAGAATACTGAAGAGACCTTAAGGTCAGAGTAAGTCTACCTCGGAAGTAATGACTTCTGGATGCCAGACAGGGACTCAAGTGGAGATACAAATGAAGTTTGCCTTGGTCATTTTTGTTTTACTGTGAAGGGGAACCATGGCCATGGAAACTCTTATAAAAAGAAAGTATTTAAGCTGGCGGTGGTGCACGCCTGTAATCCCAGCACTCTGAGAGGCAGAGGTAGGTGGCTCTCTATGAGTTCGAGGCCAGCCTGGTCAACAAAGTGAGTCTAGGACAGCCAAAGCTACACAGAGAAACCCTGTCTTGGACCCCCTTCTCTCCCCCGCTCCCAAAAAAAAGAAAATATTTATTTGAGGCTTGCTTACAGTTTCAGAAGGTTAGTGTTAGGACCCAATGAAATGATGATGCACACAGCAGAATTTATATGAAAGAGGTTTATTAAATGGAGATGAAGAGAGAGAAGGAGAGTGAGACATGATAGGGAAAGGGAGGGGGTGCCCCAACAGGGAAAGGGGAGAGGGTAAGAGGGCAAGAGAGAGAGAGAGACAAAGTGGTGGGTTGAACCTTTTAAGGAGAAACATAACCACCATGCCTGCCACTTGGCAGGTGACACGTGATGACATCATAGGCTGCTAGGCAACCCAGAAGCAGGCTGCCTAAATACTAACAATTAGTCCATTGGCAGGAAGCTTGGTGCCATGCAGGCAAACATGATGCTGTAGAAGTACCTGAGAGTACTACATCCGGATAGACAGAAAGCAGGAAGAGGGAGACACTGGGACTGGCCTAGGCTTTTGAAACCTCCAAGCCCACCCCAATTGACATACTTCCTCCAACCAGTCTACACATACTCCAAAGGCTATATGCCCTAATCTTCTCAAGTAGTTCCACTCCCTGATGACTAAGCATTCAAATATATGAGCCTATGGGGGGAGCATTCTTATTCAAACAACCACAAAACCCATGGAGGAAATAGGATCTTCAAATAAAGATTTAGTGTTACCATCATATAGTTAGGATTAAGACAAGGAGACTGTGGTTGTGAAAAGAGGGCCAAGGACCTCACCTACATTTTAGAAACATGGGAGATGAAGAAGTAACCCTAAAGCAATATGAAGTTGTATTGTTCCCATATTGAACTGTTTCATACATGTTGACTGGGCCAAATACCATTGCAGTCCTGGGCTGCTTAGAATGGGGAGTCCACGTGCAAGGTTCCAGGGTTCTGCCTTTGAATGCTGTTACATAAGGCAATGGAGGTGGTTCTCAAACAGCAATGCCAGATGGTTTTGGGAAGTAGGCAGGTCGAGGCTCAGTGTTGCATCTATAGAGTTTATTGAGGTTATTGTTTTAACACAACAGATGTAGAAAGCTCCCTTGGTGATTCACATGATTCTAATCTGGGGCCTTTTTTTTTCATTTCTGTTGTCATATTAGAAGTCCTACTGTCTGTGTAGAGGCATGCTCAGGACTTGACTTTTCCTGTTTGGTCCAGGTATAACTTCCACCATCTTGGTTACTGAAATGACAAGGCTTTTGTGATATCTTTCTAGTGCCTTCCAACTGTAATATTTTGATCAGTCACTAGTATGATAAAATACTGTTTCTTTTGTAAGCTGATTCATATTTGTGTTGCAGAGCCTAAGCTCTCAGAGTAAGAAAGATGGTGTTCAGTTCTCAGTCACTACCCTTCCAACTTGCAGAATTCTAAGTACATGTGTTTTTAAACTAAACTTGCTTGCTAAAATTTGAGATGACTATTCCTTATGTGCAGGACTTGAGATAGATACTAGGGGCAACCAAACAAACCCTACTGGGGATAGAAAGATAGTTTAAGAATGTGTCTTGCTAGTCCAAAGGACTCAGGTTCACACCATTCATAACTTCAGTTTCAAGGCATCTGACACTCTTCTTTGACCCCATGCTTACCAGGCATGCATGTGGTGTACATATACACACATACAGGCAAAACATTCATATGTACTAAATAAAACCTTAAAAACAAACAAACCACACAGACAGAAAGACAGTGATGGAAGGTTGCTTTATTCTACCCAGGAAAAACAGTAGAGAGAACATTTGCTATCAAGATAGAAGTGACATCACCTTTCTAATCCTTTGTTCAAAGGCACATATATAACTGGATTCTTATTTCAGAGGAGAAGGTTCATTAGTCACACAGATGAGGGGAGGAGCAGGCACAGAGAAGAGCTTATTCAGACAGTGGGCTCTTAAGTAACCAGAGCATACTAAAATTCAAGTTTGATGCCTCTGATTCTCGAATATCTTGTAATTATTAAATTGCTAGACTGAAATGCTAGTCATAATTTGCTTGTTATGGTTTTTCCTTACAAAACTTGCAACCCAAATTCATGTAAATGTTTTAATGCTAGATGTTTCAAAATTATTTCTCAAGAAATCTGGAAACTTGTTAATGCACCTACCAGATATTGTTAACAATCTTGAGTTCATTGTCTTGTAAATGTGACAATTTTGAAAATAATCCTCAGACTTTTGTGTGATAAATGGGAATATAGGTTATTTAAACATCACCACAGAATATACTGTCATTGTGTAGTGTAGTCCTATTATTTAGGAATGTTTTTCTGAAGCTGATTAGACTGTGAAAGCCAAGCTTTGTGGTTTACAGTGTAGGTGGTACACAATATTTTGATACTGAAAAAATCATTCTTGGAGGCCAGGCATGGTGGCTCATGCCTGTAATTTGAGTATTTAGAGGTAGAGACAGGAAGAATACTGGGAGTGCTAGGACAGTATTGATCTACATAGCAAGTTTTGGGCCAATTAGGGATACATAAGGAGAACCTGTATCCAACAAAAGAAAAGGAATTGGAACAAATCAGCAGTGGGTGTTTAGCTCAGTTGGTGGAATACTTCCCTAGCATGCACAAAACACTGAGTTTGCTTCCTAGAACTGCATAAAGATGTGGCAGTGCATGCCTATAATTCTGGAACTCAGTAATTGAAGACTGGGGATAAAGGAATTCAAGATCGCCTCCGGCTGCTTAAAGAGTCCCAGGGTACCCACCGCTACAAAGTGAGAATGTGCTTCAAAGGCATATACAAAGAAAGGCTCTTACCTGGGGATGTAGTTCATTGGTAGAGCACTTGCCTAGCACACACAGGACCCTGGGTTCAATCTCTAGTATTGCAGTAAGCAAATTAAAAAAAAAAAATAGATAAATAAAAATTTTAAGAATGGTTCTTGCTTTCATGTAGTAGTACTTTTAAAAGCAAGTTGAAGGCTTTAGGGCCATAGCAGAAGACCCTGATCTAGCTACATGATAGGTTACTGAGCAGCCGTTAAATATAGTATTATGGATGCTTACCTGGCAGTGGAGATTCCATGATCATGAAGGTGGTTTCCCCAGGGTGAGGCTTATCCATTGCACTCTCTATGTGCTGACTCCTGTGATTTCCCCAAATGTGGGAAACTTGGCTGCATAATTTGTAGTAGTAGGGGGACTGTGTTCGAACTCTCCCTTAACACACACACACACACACACACACACACACACACACACACACACACA